GTAGCAGGAGGGCTGCGTGTACAGGAAGGGATCACAGTTTGACCCACCGTCTTCTGTCGGGAGAGGGAGGAAGAAAACTAAACTACGTCTCAGAAGGAAGTTAAAGTATATGTACGGTTGGTGTTAAGAATTCATTTTAGTGCCAAAGCATTAAATGTATAAATTTCTGTAAACAGAACAAGTGAGAAATCCGAACTGAAAAATCACTGTCATTCAGACATTAAAAGGAATGGTGATACATGTTTTTTATGAATTATCTGAGATCTGAAATAAATGCAAATACATAAAAGTAGGCTAAATCACATTACAATGTCCGATGATTGAGATGATTAAAATTTGCACATTGTAAATCCCATTCTCTAAACACAAATTACAAGGTACTTTCAAATTATTTCATTAGGTATACTTTTAGATCGCCAAATACAAAAATTCGAAAACAGGTGAGAATTGATGAGTCCTTAAAATTGTACATTTTATTGTAAATTTGTTGGTGAAATGACGCTGTAAAGTATAGGGATACATACAAATAGAAGCACCCCAAAACCCTCACTCACTTTTGTGGATAAGGTTTTGTTTATCAGGTGGGAGGTCTTGTATTGCTTGGTGACAGTTACAAGTACATATTTTTAATCACAGAAAATATAGCTGCTGAGTACAAGTTCATATATATATATTTTTTCCCCTTTTCCTTTTTTCTTTGACTGAATTAGCTGAATAACCTTCCCAAGCTTCCACTTGGCTCCGCGTGTGGAAGTCACGTGGATATTGCTCTACAGTCTGAGGTTAGCACACTCTCTCCAAATAAACAATTGCATTTACTGCTGGACACTCATAACCAGAACTCTGACTACTTGTTCTGTAACATTCCTTCTGCAAGCTGCATATAATAAAGTAATGGTTGTTATGCATCATTTTTAAAGATTTTAAGATCTTTCCTCCAATAAGATAAGTTTAAATTAACCATTTTTCTTATCCAAGCGTGGACATCTCAAAAATGGAAATAGGTTTATAGCAACTTATCTTTTTACATTGTTAGTGACATTAGGAAATAGAATGTGGTTTCCTAATTTTACAACGTCAGCGACAGACAAGTTGGAACTCTGCATTAAAGGACAACCAGCCACCACCTGCTCTATCACACTGTAACCACGACCAGGTGCCGGTTCTCCTGCTGGGTTCCAGGAACACAAAACCACATAAAACGTGGTTTCTGCCCTTAAAAGGCTCACAGCCCGAGAGAACCAACAGACAGGCAAAGAATCTTCGGTGGGAGGAGCCTGCAAGGTGCTCTCAGAAGAGGAGAAAGATTAGCATGTGTTGCAGGAGAGTAAGATTGCAAAGAATACAAGAGAGAAGCAAGAAGATTGACACAGCCCCTCCTGTATTAAGTAAGCGGAAGACGTTCAGATGAGGTTTCTATCGCGTTTGAATGATCTCTGCTGCTGTCGTTCAAAACATTCCAAACACATTCCAATAGGCAGCAGGAACGATGTGTGAACCACTCTGGGCAGCGAGACTGACTGAGGCTGGCCCTGGAGAGGTGGTGCTGGTATAAATGAACACACCCAGCAGGTTATCCCTAAGTCAGCTTGGCTGTCTCATCCAGATGTCTGGCTTCGAGCCAGGCATTCCCAGAGATTTACCCTGTACTTTCTGTTCATAGACTTCAGCGGTTTACAAAGTGTCACGATCTCATTCCAACCTCATACGCCACGCCAAACAAGACAAGCAGGACAAGTAATCTTGTTTACCATTTAAAATGAAAAACTTTAGTCTAGGAGTTTAGGAGAATTTATCTACTGTTGCTTGAATCTAACCAGAAAAGACCAGAATTTGGGTCTTCCCACTCTTGGTGGGCAAGCTTTGAACTAGGTATCAATCTTTTACAGCTAAAAGGGGCCTTAGGAAGAAACGAATTCAAAAGTTAAATGCAAAATTGAAAATAAATGCACGAGGGTGAGGTTATGGGTATTGTTTTCATGTTTTTAAACATTGTTGCAGCACTATTTTTACAACTGAAACAGTGTAAACTATTGAATTCAATGCCCTCAATTCTTAAGTAAAAGAAACCGAGTCTCAAAGAGACTGAGCCCCTCAAAAACTCACAGAAAAACCTCCACCGCCCGGGAAGAACTGCATTCCAGCGCGGGCCCCGCGGGCCCGATTCTTGTCCAGAGACACCAGAACTGTGTCAGAAACAACAAATTGAAAACTTTGGGAGGTAACAACTTTAACGTTCTTCTTCTAGAGAGATTAATATAAATAAAATGTAGAGAAATAGGTATAAAGTTACTGATGTACAGGCGTCTATTTTCAAAGAACCAAAACATAACTATAAAACTAGAATTTAAAGCAGCAGAGCTAAATCATGGTCTTTCCCTCCCAGTTTGTCTTATCTGGTAAAGAAGGAAAGTACCATATACTGCCTTATCACTGTAGCAGGTTTCCAGGAAGAGGAACTCTTTTTTAAACGAAGTTATTCAATTAAGGGCCCTATAGTTGGTGACAATAGCGGTGCCTGGAGGACCGCCTGCGACGATGTCCCTAGAGCTGCCGCACTTTGCAGCTGTGACCTGCTCAGTGTGTCCTCTGTAATGAGTGCCTGCTGCCCACGAGGAACTTCTTGACAGTCAGCGGAGGGATCCGCGCGGCGCTGAGTAACAGACAAAAGATGCGTTTTCCAGCGAATATGATGGGTGGTTTCGAGTCTGAGATCACATTTACACTTAAAGATGAGTGGGATTTATGGAGGCAGCAGGGAAGGGGTGTGGCATTTTAAATGGAGGGGACAGAGCGTGAGCTGAGGCCGCAAAGCAGAAGGTGCCAGGGAGGATGTAGGGGGGACCGAGACTCTGCCTGCGGGGGAACAGGGTCTTGGTGGGGACCAGTGGGAACACTGGCTGGGAAGGCCAGGCCACGGAGGCCTTGAATGCCGGGCAATTCAGATTTCAATGAACAGAAGTGGGAACACCAAGTAACTCAAAACAAAAGTGTGATGATGGGTCTAGAACTACTAAGTTATAACACAAAGTCTGGGAGAAAACATCTGCTCACTCTACAATAAGCTCCTTTTAGTTAAAAAAAAAAGTTGTTAAAGATGTCTGAGATCAAACGGTAATTCTACGAAAAATTTTGTAGTCTGTTCCATCACTGAAGCTCATTCGTGCTTAAGAAGACAGCCCAAAGCAGTTCGCAGTTCAAAAAATTTTTTTTAAAACCCACAGACTTAACAATGTGGGTTTTCATGAACTTTAAAAAGAGCAGTTGGATCTTTATAGAAAAAGCAAGCCAAACACACAGAGTTTACATACAACCTGCGCCTGCCACACACATGTACTCTCCCTGTTACTGTCTTGCATGGGTGTGGTCCGTTTGTTACAACTGATGAACTCATATTGATGCATTGTTTTCAAATGAAGGCCACAGTTAATATCTGTGTGTATTTCTATGAATTTCAACAAATGTATGTCATATGTCCACTATTACAGTATCATACAGAATAGTTGTGGTATTTTTCAGACTATAAGACTCACTCCCCACCCCTCAAATTTAGGAGGAAAATGGGGGTGTGCCTTATAGTCTGAATGTAGCTTACCTGGCTCACTGTGTGTGTGGGGGGCAGGCAGTGGAGCAGGGTCACAGGTTATTAAATATTTTACCACATTTTTTGCTTCAAAAATTTTTCCTATTTTTCTCCTTTAAAACCTAGGTGCGTCTTATAGCCCTAAAAATACAGTCTACTGTCCTAAAAAATCTCCCGAGCTCTGCCTTTTTATCCCTCCTTCCCTTCTCCCCTCCAGTCTCTGCAACCAGGGACCTTCGTACGGTCTTTACAGCTCTGCCTTTCCCGGCAGGCCCTGTCGTTGGAACGGACACTCTGTAGCCTTTTCAGGGTGGCCCGTTTGCACACTCTGCTTCCAGTTTCCTTCCTTGTCACTCACCCAGCCATGCCAATAGCCAACAGCTCTCATCAGGATCTTCCACGGTGCCAGTGATCCTTGTTCCTGTGTCATTGGATTTGACCTCTGAGCAGCCAGTGACAGACTGGCTGTGTCGCTGCCTCCCCAGGACTCCCACTTTCAGCCTCCCCTCCCCCAAATCAGCGGTCCCCTCACTGCTCTCTGAGACTCTCTCCTTAGCTGTGCAGCTTTAAATTCTAACTCTATGCTGATAACCTCTCTGCATACCCAGCATCCTGTGCAGCGGCCACAGCGCCGAGATGTGACTGTCTCACTGTCACCTCAACCCAAATTCCAGCCTGACCTCATGGTCGCCACACCCTCCTCCCCAGGCCACAGTGTAGCTCTGCAAATTTCAGTCCCACCCTTCCCGCCTCTGGCCCAAAATATGGGGTTCGCAGTACTTTAGAAACGTTTTCTCTTGTGTCTGTGGGCATGTCTGGATCATGAAATCGCTGGACGAGGTCCTCTCCCTCAAATTCTACTGCCTGGGTCTGAGCCGCCAACTCTTGAGCCTGCTACCCACAGGTTTTAAACACAGAAAAATGTATTTTCCTAAAATAGAATATTGGGTTTTTCTCCCCCCCAAGGATTATAATGCTGACCTAGGCTGGGCAAAATGAAAACTGTTGAAGAGAAGATAAAGACTTTTTAAAAAAGTGATTAAAGAGCGAGGAAGGGAATGGCGCCTTTCCAACCTGGCAGGTTGGTTTTGTTCGATGGCAAAGGTGACAGTTGAGGGGAAGTGGCGGTGGGTCGCAGCAGAGGACTTGTGGTTGCAGAGGTGACTTCAGGCAGCCATAATTCAGCGTAGCAGGAGTGGAAATCAGAGAGGGTGTGGGGGAAGCTGGTCTGCATCTCAATATTGGTTATATGATTTTTGAATCCCTTTCTTCTCTGCAATCCATTTTTTAATCTATAAAATTAGGATAACAAATGTTGATCTTACAGATGAGAATCAGAAAGAGCATAGGGAAGCACCTGGTAAATATTCAGTAAGTGATAGCTCCTCAGTAAGAACCTAACATTTATTAAGATCTTATTGTGTGCTGCCGCCGTGATTGGTGGGTTTTAATCCGTGGCTGACTTTGGAGATAGGTGAATTATATCTATAAAGGTGATCAAGGAGCACTTCGAAGTACCTCTTCCCTCTCTCCACCCTCCCTCTCCCAGTTACAAATTCTTCGCGGTTAATAAGCACCTTTTAAAAAGATACATTGTTCTTTGGAGAGGCAAGCCATCTTCACACGCTAGGGTGATCCGTTCCTTGCACGGTGGATTCTCTGGGAAGGAGAAAGCGAGGAGTCAGGAACTTCGGGAGGAGTCAGCGTCGCGGGAAGGCGGGGCAGGACTGAGAGGGAGGGGAGAGGCCACAAAATAAAGAGCGGTGCTAATGAGCACTCCGGCCCCCGAGAGGAACCTTCGTGTCCCCTGACAGTCTCTGAGCAAGATCACCGAGACCTGAGTGTTAAGATCTGAGCCAAAGTCGGATTCCTCCCTTTCTACCCTGTCTCCCGTTCAGGGTGACCAGCTTCCCGTCCCTGCCACTCACAGGAAGGCAGGACAGGCGATGAATGGCCGGTGAGCGCAGGACTCCCCTGCCCCCCGCCGCGTCTTAACTCTCCGGAAAACTCGGCTGGGCGTTTACCACTGGCTGGTCTTCTTAACCGGCAATCCCCACCTCTCGAACAGCCCCACCCCCCAACAAACGTTGTGATTTGGGGGTTTTCTTTACCGCCAATTCTGTAGCTGTCAGATCGGGGGTCCTAGTGCATCGGTTTCCCCCCAACTTGCCAAATCTCAGCTCTCCGCAGTGCGGGCGACCGTCCCGCCTGAGCTCCTCCGACCCAACCCCCCAGCCTAACCTGCCCCCGCGGCCGAAGTGAAGGCCTGAGGGGGCCCATCCCGGGCTCCGGGATTCCCAGGCATCCCGCGAGCGACCGCGAGGTCCACCCAGAAGCAGACTGCGCGGTGGTTCCCTCCGTCCCTGGGACCCGCGCCCGGACCTCGGGCTGATCCGGTCCCGCCGGCGCCAGGGCCGTGCACGTGGCTCGGGGCCGGACCACCGGGACCTGTCCTTCTCGGGAGCCGCTCCTGGAGGATCTGGGTCCTGGCGGCTGGCGGCGTCCGAGGGTGGATGTGACAAAAACAAAGCATACTTTGCAACTCCGGGGTCAAGTCTGCACTTTCAAGAATTCTTTTTAGTTTTCGATAAGTTTTGAAATTGGATTTACCCGAAGATAGAAGGCGGAGAGCCGCAACTGCACGCAGCTTTAAAAAAGATGTGCATTTTCACTCATGTGTCTCCAGGTTCTTCATAAACTGGAAAGGACGGGAAAATTTAGGAAGCGCGACTTGAGCATTAAAATAAAGGATTTTCCAGCAAGAACTGGGAACCTCTCATAGGGGATTTACGGCCAGGAGCCCCCCCTCCCCGTGTACTGCGCCTGCGCACGCGCAAAGTGCGGCCCCGCCTTCCCTCGGACGTCAATCCTGCGCCGGGAGGGGTGGGGGGAGCAAGGGACGCGGGCTGCGCATGCGCCCTCATTGCGTCACCCACACGGTCCGCGCTCGTGGCTGGAACGGGGGACCGGACCTTGTTAAGTAAGGTGTTTCTCGGGCCTTTCTGTCGCAGCGCGCCCCGGGTCTAAGCAAGGTGGGACTGGCGTGTTTCCCTCGGCTGCTTGAGTTGGAGCTAGACCTTCCTCCCCGCCACCCAGCGCCGGTGGGAACCCCGTGGACAGACCCCGCCCCCTTCCCGGCGGCGACTCCGGGTCCCCTCCCCGCCCCTGCCGGCGGGGACCCCGCCGTTCGTCCGGTCAGGCCCCGCGCACCTGCCAGGACCATGAAGCTCGTGAGGAAGGACATTGAGAAGGACAACGCGGGCCAGGTGACCCTGGTGCCCGAGGAGCCCGAGGACATGTGGCACACCTACAACCTGGTGCAGGTGGGCGACAGCCTGCGCGCCTCCACCATCCGCAAGGTGCAGACCGAGTCGTCCACGGGCAGCGTGGGCAGCAACCGCGTGCGCACCACGCTCACCCTCTGCGTGGAGGCCATCGACTTCGACTCGCAGGCCTGCCAGCTGCGGGTGAAGGGCACCAACATCCAGGAGAACGAGTACGTGAAGATGGGGGCGTACCACACCATCGAGCTGGAGCCCAACCGCCAGTTCACGCTGGCCAAGAAGCAGTGGGACAGCGTGGTGCTGGAGCGCATCGAGCAGGCCTGCGACCCGGCCTGGAGCGCCGACGTGGCGGCCGTGGTCATGCAGGAGGGCCTGGCGCACGTCTGCCTGGTCACGCCCAGCATGACCCTCACCCGGGCCAAGGTGGAGGTGAACATCCCCCGGAAACGCAAGGGCAACTGCGCCCAGCACGACCGGGCCCTGGAGCGCTTCTACGAGCAGGTGGTCCAGGCCATCCAGCGCCACATCAACTTCGATGTCGTCAAGTGCGTCCTGGTGGCCAGCCCGGGGTTCGTGCGGGAGCAGTTCTGCGACTACATGTTTCAGCAGGCCGTGAAGACGGACAACAAAGTGCTCCTGGAGAACCGGTCCAAATTCCTGCAGGTGCGCCTTCCCCACCCCGGGACCGAAGGTGGGCTGCGGGGTTTGTAGAAACTATTTCTAAAGCTTTAGAACTGGGAAAAGGGAAGGAAGTCTCGATTTGACTGGGATTGTAAGTGACATAATAAGCTGTTGAATGGGTAGCAAATTTTTACAGTAAACTTTGCTTAAGTCCTTAAACACAGCAAGCCTCACTAGTGCTTTTGGCTTTAGGTACTGGCAGGCTGATTAACAGGTGCTCTGAGAGACTCTTTTGTCTGACCTTTGTCACTGTGACTCCAGGTACATGCCTCCTCTGGACACAAGTACGCCCTCAAAGAAGCCCTCTGTGACCCTGCGGTGGCCAGCCGCCTTTCAGACACGAAGGCTGCGGGCGAAGTGAAGGCCTTGGATGACTTCTATAAAATGCTACAGCACGAACCTGACCGAGCTTTTTACGGACTCAAGCAGGTGGAGAAGGCCAACGAGGCCCTGGCCATCGACACTCTGCTCATCAGCGACGAGCTCTTCAGGCATCAGGACGTGGCCACGCGGAGCCGCTACGTGCGGCTGGTGGACAGCGTGAAAGAGAATGCGGGCACCGTCAGGGTGTTCTCCAGCCTTCACGTCTCCGGGGAGCAGCTCAGCCAGCTGACGGGAGTGGCCGCCATCCTCCGCTTCCCCGTGCCCGAACTGTCTGACCCAGAGGAGGACTCCAGCTCTGAAGAAGATTGATGATTGGGACCGTCCTGGAGACAGCCCTGCGCCTCCTTCAGGCTGCATTTCCTCAGCATCCTTGTGACAGAGGCTGCGTGGGCAGCACCGAGACTGTCACACGGGTCGGTCACACTGGGCATTGTGTGGCTGGCAGGACATGTATTTAAAACTAAATAAATTAAAAGGAAATGACCTTTTTGTACTACCATTTTTATTAAGTAGAATAATTTTAGAAATCATGAGTTACTTGCAGTACTTAGAAAATTTTGTATAAGGGTCCTTGTATTTTCCTTGGGGTATATCATAAAGGCCCATCCTTTATCCTTGGAAATAGTTTTCCTTAGGAAAAGCTGTGAGTATTCCGTTATCCTCAGCGTACAGTGTTTGTTCGATTTCTTCATAGTGTTCTTGTACTGCCTTGGTGATGATCCCTTTCTCCCTGCTTCCCTTACACCCCATTTCTTCCCTTTTTAAATTTATTTGTTATTTTAAGTGATAGCCAGGTTTTTTTCTTAAGAAGCTTGTTAATCCAGTCATGTTAAAAGTAAATTCTTGAGGTTTTTTTGTCATTAGAATTCATCATATTTGCTTCAGAGGATCACTCAGTTCTTTTTAGATCATAGAACTGTGGTCTGGGGTGCTCAGGACCACATGTTGGGAGTGTCCTTATTTTTAAAACGAGACCAAGGTGTGTGATCTGCTCTTAGGTTGCTAATTAGTGGCAAAGCCGGAAGGAGTCTCGTCTGGGCTCGTCTCTTGCACTGCTCTGCTCTGTATTGATTCTTTTGCCTGTCTCGTTGTACTTAATGCTGTTTCTGGGTGTTGTCACGTTCTTACTGGACTTTCTCTACATCTGATTTTAGGGGTGAGGAGTCTGTTCAGAAAGCTTGAGTGCGTTGTGTAGTGTATGGCAGTGAACTTGTACCCCAGCACTCGACTGTGATGCGGGAATTTCTGCAAACACCTCGGGGTTTAAAATGCTCTTTGTATTTGGTTCTTATGATGTGCGTTTCTGAGCCTTAGGGAGGGATCCGTGGAATGGAATTGCAGCGGGACCGTCTACAAACCTCAGCTTAGCGATGATTAGGAAAACCCTTATGGAGAAAGAGTGATAGTTTGTTTGAAACTCTAGGATCAGTGGTGTCTCCTTCAAGTAGGGGTGGCTGTTCAGTAAAGGTTTGATTTTCCTTTCTAAGTCTGGGCCTTCCTGTGGCTGTGAGTACCAGGCTTGGGGATTTTTTAGATAAACTTCCCAACTAATCTAAACTTTTCATCTGTAATTAGGAATAGATACCTCTACATGGTTTAAAACCACATTTTCACATATGTACATCCTAACCTGAAAATAAGTCAGATGATTCCATAAATATTTAACTTTCAAATATATTAAAAGAATGTTATTAAATAATTTGGTAAGACTATGCAAATGAAGCCACCAAAATTCTTGACAACTCGATTAATAATCATATTCTCAGTAGGAATGTGGAGATTTGGGGCATCTGTTACTCTCATAATCTGTGCATTACTGGTTGTTCTTAGCTCTTATTTACAGCATAGGAACCAGGGATAATCTAACCAATTCATTTTAGGACATAGGTTCTCAAATCTGGCTGCGTGGGAGCTTTAAAAATCAGCAACCAGATTGGACCTCAGACCATATAACCTTTCATCCCAGAAATGCTGTTTTTTAAAAGCTCTCCAGGTGATTCCAATAGGCCTCAAGGCTGAGAACCACCGATTCAGGCCTTGCTATTCAAAAGTGCGGTCCATGGCCCTCAGAATCCGGGTCTCTACCCTACACCTGCCTACGGAGATGCAATCCATTTTAAGGACATTGCCAGTTGATTGCTTTGCATAACCATCTATAAAACTTCTTTAAGTGAAAGTGTGTTTTCATGTCCATAAAATATTTCAATTGTCTTTAAGAATTCTATTTTTTTAAAAGTTACATTTTATATGCATATTTTTTCCCTCCTCACCCAAGGATATGCTTATTAATTTTTAGAGAGGGGAAGGGCGGGAGAGAGGTTGGAAACACCCATGTGAGAGAGAAACCTGGAACAGTTGCCTCCTGCGTGCGCCCCGACCAGGGACTGGCGGACAACCCAGGCATGTGCTTGACTAGGAATCGAACCCATGACCTTTTGGTCTTTGGGATGACACTCCAATGAACCAAGCCACACTGGCCAGGACAGGTTACATTTTATACCATTATCAAGAATATATTGAGTAAATCTCCCTAGGTGCTTAGGTAGACATGTCAAAATAGTGATAGGAGCATATAAAACAAAAATTCTAATAATTAGTATTTACTATTCTCTACAAAACAAAATGAACCATAATTCTTTGGAAATCATGGTCAGTAGTCTATTCGGGCAGCATGAAGAGGGGAGACCATGTGGTAACAAATGGAAACACAGTAACACCTGGGAATAATGCTATGTTGCATTACAAATTTCCATTCACCATGGCACTTGTAAACAGGTTTTACCCCCCCCCCCACTAGGTGCAAGAAATGAGGAGCTTGCCGATTTGTATCATCTTACTCTAAATATGATAAGTAAACAAGTTGCATTCTGCAATCCTGGTCCGTCATTTACATGGTAAACACTTTGCTAATTCTATGTCTGGATTCCGCATCGCTACTCCTCTTACAAGTTGGATATTTTTCCTCCCAGATGACACTAGGGTAGCTTCCTTTCTTCTGTCACTAGCTTTAGTTTCCTTTTCTAAACCTTGGAACCAGTTCTGTCGACTTCAAGTTATCTGTAACAGAAGCGAGTCCTAATTTCTGCAGTTCATATGTTCTGGAACCAAAATTCTCTTTGTTGCTAACGACAAAAGTACACCAATGAAATGGTGTATGTAATAATTTCCTAAACTGGAAGCCATTATTTGGGAAAAGAGTGTTGTGCTTTTAAGTCAAAGTATTTTCCAAGCAGAATGCATGTTGTGTTCGGGGTCAAATTGTTGAATTGCATTTTGGGGGGTTTCTAAGGTGGTTCTGAGGCTTTGAGGAGAGAGAAACCCAACTGCTGGTGGCCGGGGTTTAGGTGTGGAGTGTCCGTGTTTGTATTACCCCAGCCATAAGGGGAATGCGTTTAGGTTTTAGCCACTCATTCTTTCGGTGCTTGCTTAGAGTCATGCACAGGGCTGCATTTAACAGACACACCTGCAAGCCAGTCACTGTTGTAGAAGTAACGAGAAGTGTGTAAGAGGGCCCAGTGTTGTATGGGGTCACTTCTGAGAGGGACTTCAGCCCAAGTCAGTAAGTTTACTGAAAATGGTGAGAATAAACCTGGAGAGGCCGGTGGTCACCAAGCAGAGGAGAGCAGGGCACGGGCGCTAGTCACAGGAGACCCTCCTGCCTCGTCAGAAAGTGCAGCTTTGACCACAGCGAGAAACCACGGAAGACTCGGGGCAGAACAGCCCGACTGACATTGCATTTCACAAGTATCTGTGCATGGGGGCAGCAGGACGGATGGGAGGAGGCAGGAAGATTGGCTCAGTGGGTGCCTGTTAGAGAAATCCAAGGGGAAGTGAGGGCGGCCAGAGGAGGCGGGACAGGACTCCTTGCAGCAGGAACGAATGGGAAACGCTATGGGATGGGACCCTGGGGACCATCATGCAGACTGTGGTTCACAGTGGCAGAAAGGATGGAGTCTCAGGGGAAGCTCAGGCATTTGTTTGTTTTTTCAAATGCTGGGAGAGATGATGGCACAATTCAGAGATGGAAATACAGGAAGAGAAGCGGGCTTGCAAGGAAAAAGTACACTCGGTCTGGCACCTTTGGCCTGACGTGCCTGTGGGACATCCGGGGCCCTCTCCCACCAGACATCCGCACCCACACAGCCGCCTTTCCTCCGCTGTGCACTCACGTGTCTTAGTGCATCTTCCCAAACCAGTCTTGTAAAAAAGGTGACTTCTCCAAGACGTCTTATTTTGGTCTATAGTTGGTTTGCTTCTCTTCAGTGTGTGATGTGAGCTGCCTGGGGCTGGAGATTATGGTCTCTTAGGTCCATTGCTGTGTCTCCAACACTAAGAATTAATTCCTGACACAGAAAAGATGCTCAAAAAATGTTTGACTGAAGGAATGGGTCTACATGAAAAGATCCCTTGGCAGAAGAGTGTGCACATCTGAAGTTCAGGGGAAAAGTTGGGGGTAATGATTTAAGAGGTATCAGCATCCACGTGGGCCAGAAATTGTGGAGGAAGAAAAGGACAATCTAACAAGAATTAGTAAAACTAGGAAAAAGGGGGGCCAGGCCCAGAAGCACAGGGAAGTAAGTACCAGCATTTAATCTCTGGAAGTGCAACTTGACTCCATCATCTGTATTACTGTCCTTCAAAGCAGAGGTGTCTGTATTGTTCAGCGATTAATATGCCCAGGTAACGGTGTTTGCTCCCACGGATGTCTACAGTGCCATGTATGCATGCGTGTACATGTAGAACAGCGGAAGGGCTGATTTCTCAGACCTTGTGTTTCCAAACATTCCTAAGACTTAAAAAAATGTGAAGGCAAAAGCCAAATTACTATTGTAATCATTTGAAGGGGTTCTTAATACACACGGACATTTACAGATTCAGTACCTGAAAAGTTACAGTCTCAACAAGCAGAGAAATGAGGGGCGACGATCGGATGGACAGCAAACTTTCTCAGGGGTCGTCAGGAAGCTCTGTCTCCCTCCTCGCGAGGCTCCTGGTCCCTCCGGGCCTTGTCTGGTGCCCCCCCACTTCCTCTTTCCCTGCAAAACCACAAGGGTCAGAATCATGCCACAAATCTTGCAAAGCTTTGTTTACATGAGCTTGAAAAATTGGTTTTGATCAGCCCATAACTTTGTTGATACACATTTTTCAGCAGATGAGTGCCTAAGCAGTGAAGGGCAGCTAAAAAAAGAACCACGATCTCAGACACAGTTTTTAAAGCCCTAAATATGTTTGCTTTTCTTCATACTGATGTGAGTACACTCAAACTTCGGGCTGTGATTCGGTTTATGTGTTCTCCGAGACTGAGTGTTTGGGGGAAGTGCTAGACTAGGCTGAGGCCACACACTGTGTAGGTGGTGGGCAAATTGGCAACTTAGAAGTTTAGTGCAAAAGTGTTGCTGAACAGCCCAAGCGCTTGCCAAATGAGTTGAGAGGCGAGTATGCTAGTTTGAGTGTCCAGGATGCCCTCCTAGGAGAGATTCAGAAGTCGGCAAGGCAGCTAATGGAGATGTGGGCAGGTAAGGTCTGGAGTAATGGTCTTGGAATTCGGCAACGAGGAAACTCTCAGCAGTTACCTAATGTAGTCGCCAAGCAGCCGGTGAACTCCACTAGAACTAAACAAACCGGCCAAGTTCAGTAAGAAGGCAGATTAGGGAGACCGTGAAAACCTCACTGGCAGAAGGTATTTGTTAGGCTGCAGTGAAGGGGATTAAACTCTCATTCATCCTTTTTATTTTCGTAGCAAGAATCCTTCCTTTTCAGAGAGTGTTCCGTAGAGTGGCCCCATGCCTCTTTCGTATTCTGAAGTGTTCTTTGTGGATGTTCAAGTATGGTTACTTGTAAGGTAGCCCATTTACTCTGCAGGACTTATTTTTCCCCTGTTAAGAACCATAGTAGTGTACCTGGTGATAACACTAAGAAAGAAAGAAACTGGGATACTGCGAAGTTGTGTATTCAAATTGAGGAGGAACGAATGGGCCCCCTCGAGTAAAACCCACTTTTGTGTATAACACTGCAGTTGCGAGCAAGTGCAAGGCTCTCATTTTTGTTCTTGACAGTGACTATCTCAGCTCTACACTAACTGACATTAGTATGGGAAGGTCTTGTGTTTCCAGCTGCCAGTCACTGAGGATGGTGATGTGTGTGATGAATTGTGGGGACCCAGGTCACCAGTCTCTTTAAGTCCCCTTTCCTTCCTCCCTTAGCATCGCCCATGGTCAAGTCCCCTCCTCTGAAACGCAACGGTGCTGGAAGTGCCTGGTTTCTGCGATGCAGGAGACAGGGGGCTTGAGCTGGACTTCCACATAGGGTGCTGGTTGGTTCCAAAACGCCAGCCCTGTGGCTGGTGGCGTCTGCCAGGCAGCAAGTCCCAGGGGAGTCAGAGACCCGTACGCGGCCCCAGGGCCTGGCCAGCAGAGGCAGGGCAGGCGCCAGGTCCCAGCTCCAGGCTGCTTACGCAAGTCCAGGCCTGCAGTGACGGCTCTAAAGACGAACCGTTTAGCTCTCCGATGAGCCCGGTCATTGCTGTTTCCGGATAAGAAAACTGAAATTAGTAAGAGGTTAAATGATTTGTCCACCACCCACGGGTGATGGCTGTGACGCTGCTGCCCAATCAAGGGACCCCCTAAAATGTATAAAAGTGCTGGCCTGTCCCCCAGGGGTTCCAGTCTGGAGTAGGTCAGACATGTCTAGAAATAGGAAAGAATTACTTGACAGCCCTCAATTTTATTTTACATGATGGGCCAAAGTTAATGTCATCATTCTGGGTGCTCTTTGTTTACCCACCACCACAGTTATTTGTCACCTCTCGTGAGACATCAGAACTCATCCCGTGGCGTCTCTGGAATCTCATTGAGAATTAGATAACGTACATAAACTGTTGCAATTCTTTTATTAAAATCCACCCCCTTAAGCATCTTTACTCACATCTTTTTATTATTATTTCACACCTAGTGTTCAGCCAGCTTGCTTAAATTTCTTTCAACCTACTGTGTTAATTCAGGGATTATTTAGACAAACATGCGTTTACTAAAACGCCTTCAGTGCCAGCGACTGTGCTGCCCTGGGGTAGGTGATGAGGAATTAAAAGCAGCTTCCCTGCCTTTGATCAGCAAATTAGGTGCCACAGAGTGATGACCATGAGCGGCCAAGCTGCAGGGAGGTGACAGCAATGAGTAGGGACAGCTCCATGGGTCTTGAAGCCCCATCCAAGGAGAAGTGCGGGGCTCAGACTGTCCCTGGGGCCTGGGGACCTTCCTGCAGTGCAGTCACTGGTGTTCATGCTGAGGAAACGGCTGGGTTACACTCAGTATATTCAACAGGTCAAGGAAATAGAATTTCTTTCCAAAGGATTTCCTTCCCAAATTGTTAAAAGCTGGTGCTACTCACATAAATCTTCAGAGGTCGTAGCTGGAAGGACAGTTCCAGAGGTTGGCTATTCCTCAGTAAGAAAACTCAGCTCGTTGCTCAAATGGGAACTCTTGTTAAGGAAAACTATTCCACTGGAAAATTTATTCAGAGGTGGGAGGTCTTCCGAGTTCAAGTCTAAGTTCCAGAAGTTCTATGTCTGGAATTTTTCATTGAGTCCTCGTGTAAACATTGACTAGAACTTTTTGTTTGACACCGCCGGGATAAATTGCTCTGTGGATATAAAACATATTTTAATCTTGTGTTTCAGGTCAATGATCTTGTGACCATAATTTAGAGTTTTTCTTCCTCTCCAAGTTCATGGTTGGCACCGGCAGCGCCTCCTGGTGTGGGGAGGAGGTGAAGGAGCGAAGTGGTTCTCACCACCTGGCTCCCAGTCAGTAGAATTGTCCCTGTTGGTGCTGTTAGGAGCCGTCTGACCTGCGGACTTCATGACAGGGACGTAAAC